TAATATGCTGCTTTATCATATCATTAAGTTGCAGCTTGTTTAACTTAACTCCCTCTAGAATGAGGGGGGGCTATGGTAAATTTTGATTGGCTTAAATTTTCGGCCAATGGATTCTTGCCATCGTGGACAATACCATTAGTCATCGCCGATTGTCGAGGTTGGTTATCGAGGCTTTGTTTTCGCTTCTTTGCACCGCCACCACCTCCATTTTTTGGAAGCATTTTACCAGTACACCAGAGAAAACTATTATTATAATAACAATAATAATAATGAATTTACTAATTAATTTGATTGAGTAATTAATTATAACCTGAGAATTTCAGGTGAAAAATGAGAGAGAAGACGAAAAAAATCGAGATCTCGAAAAATACGAATATAACAAAAAGTTAATTGAATAGACGAAAGAATGCGACTGATCGCTAGCTCGTTAGAACGGTGAATAATTGGTGAATTGAAAATTCAAAAAACTAGATACTTGACAAGTGCAACTCAAACTCACGAATAATTTACGATCATTTACAGTCATCTACGTTTTTCATATACGATCAACCTACATAAGAGTCGTTTCTTCATCTATTTCACTGTGTTTTTGATTGTTGATAATCGTATCTATTTGATCTAGGTGCTTACAACCTAATACTTTTGTTTTTTGCATCCTTGAGTAAAGTTTGGGTTGACAAGTAAAATAGAACGCAGATTATTTTGCTTTCTTCTCTATCAAATGTATTGCGACGATATATTAAATAAAATCTTTTTTCGTACTTAAGTAATATAGTATGATCTGAATGATAAAACACATCGCTAGCTGATGTCAACGTGATATTCTAATTAATTGCGTTATTATTTTTCTTAATATGGGGATATGTGGAATATAAATATGAGATGTACACCGAAGCAGTATAGTACATTAAATCAAAGCAACAAAAGTGAACACTTACACTTTGTATATTAGGTTAACTTCAAAAAGATTGGATAAAAAATATGTCATCATCAATATCAGCCAACCAAAAGCAACAAGCGGGTCAAGGAGCTAATGCTCAGAAACAACAACAAATTGATCAAGCTGGTTGTGCCAAGCAACATCAGCAAGCTAGTCAGGCTGCAAGTGGACAACAGAATCAACCCCATCAATTCATACACTAAAATGACTATCTTCTGCAAGAATAGACAGTCTTGTTGATGTTTTGTTTTGCATGTTTTATTTTTCACTTTATTCAATTTTGATTCATATCTTCTGAAGTCCTTGTATATATTTGAATAAAATAATCCTATCCAAACTAATTGCTTTTCGAAAAAAGACTATTAATGGAAGAGTGTGAACTATTGAGCGAAAGATTGACTATATTCGAGTCAAAAGAAAGTTTTCAGCGAAAAAGTAACGAATTTAAACCATGATCTGCACAGGATTTACCTGAAAAGAAATATCGAAGTTTTAAGTTATGTATTGTTTGGGAATACAAGCATGATAATATATATGTATTAGTCAAATTAATCGTTTAATATAATAATCAGATTGTTAAGGAGTGAGTTTCTAAAATCTAGGTGATATTTATTGACAATATTGAAACGTCTCTCGAGATATAACTTTCGAAGTTTAACAATATCGAACTCGAAAAAAAACTATATTGTGTTTGAATATTGTTCATATGCACGATATTCACAAATCAAGTGAATTCATCCTTCACTTTAAAATTTATGGAACTATTGACATATTCCTACATCACAAAGAAGAGAAAGGAATATCTGTTGTGTCCTCTCATTTGCGAACAGACGATCAAAATATAATAGCTTTGAAATTAAAATCAATTTTTTATTCTTAATTGAAACTATTTCAATTGAAAAAATCTTTAGTTCTCAACTTTTCATTTATTAAATTTTGAAAAAGCTATTCAGATAAATTTTGAAAAGTTTTCTAAAAAATTTAATCGAAAATTATAACTTTTTTTTACTACTAAAAATTTACTGAGAAGAATTTTAATAAAACTGCTATCTTTGGTTGTACTAATGACTATCTTTAATTTATAGAGTTCGCTCAAAATTTGTTGCCACTATTTACATTGAATTAGCTGCAATATGTAGTGCTCGCTAAACTGCTGAAATTTAAAGAGTTTTCTGAATACTGGCTTTCAATAATTACATTTTATGCGCTGTTGCCATAAATGGCATGAGTTTTTTTTCTTAGCTTCATCATATCATCTAACTGTTATAAAAACTTGTAATCGAATATAGAATGGACATTAATTAGTCGAGATGCAAAAGGATTTACATACAAGGACCAAAAGCACAGAAAGCGGTGTTCGAATTAAAAACGGTTCGGAGATATAGGTTTGTTGTAACAAATATTGTGGTGTATCAATTGTTTAGCTTAACGACACCATTAAACGATATCTACAAGAACGTCCACATGATGAACTTCAGCATTCATCTGAAATTAGAAATCCATTACAAAATATCTATACAGAAACAAAAAAAAGATTTATTAATATCAGTAACTGAAATCTACCTGCAAAATTTAGTGCGATACATAGGTTTGAGTGTGGGTGCGGGTTTCCGCTTCATTTTTATCCATCCCCACACCCACACCCCTACTTGCATCGAAGAGTTTTTCATGTTGATGAAGGATTGTCTCGATTTCTTCTCTTTGTGTTGAATCTGTAATATGTCGAGTTAATTTATAGATGTTATCATTAGCTAATTGATGATCAATAGATGTACATTTACTAAAAGATAGTGTAGGAACAGTTGCTGCACCTAGTATGAGGCCTTTAGGTACTGTATAATAATACGGTGTTGGATTGTAAATTGAAATATGTGATTTCTGTCGGTTAACATTTGCTATATTGTTTAACAAAATCATCGGTGATCGTCATGCTAATTGATAAGATGGATGAAGTAAAACTTTAGCTGATGATATTGCCACGTTAACTGGAATTGAAACTGTTCTTCTCGTTGTAATATAAGTGTAACGAATTGTTCGTGCTGGATAACGAATTTCTTGTTGGTTAACATCAAAGTCTAATGTTATACATTTTTCATTACCACATATTGATACCACACGTCCATCAGCATTAATTATAACTTTATATTTACTAATAAAATCCATTCATAATATACATTCAGTACATAAATCTTTCACCACATATGCTTTAATCGAAGTTGACATATCACCTATAACAATATGTAAATCTAGGGTGTGGGTGTGAGTGTGGGTGGGATAAGAGAAGACTCAAACCCACACCCTTGCTAGTGATGACTATTCTATAAGAAGATCTAGCCTTTATATTTTTTTGTTAAGACTTATGCATAAGAACTAAAGTATAACGATAAATGAACGGAAGATGGTGATGTGACAGACTGCAGGAGTAGCTTATCGCCACCCTCGATACTGATGTTTATTAGCTACTTTACATCTCCAAAGTGTCTCTATTGCACATTCAATACATGCTTATAAATGATAGAGGAACAAAGAGAGAGATGACACAGAGAGAACAATAGAGAAAGAAAGAGGAAAGAGGAAGAGCAGCGAGCCGTGACGCATATATCGGCATATAAAGCACAGCTCATACTCGATATTGCCGGCATTTCTGCGAGTGTGGAAGGGTGTGGGGGTAGGTATTGATTTATTCTTATATCACATCCCACCCACACTGTAAAAAAAAAAAGGTACTTTACCGAACCTTGAAAAAAGGTTCGGTAGATGAAGAAAAGCGTGCAAATGTGTTCAAAGTTTCAAAAATAGAGTAAAAAAATCGACGGAACCTCTAAGGGATCTTACCGTGAACCCAAGTGAAGATCCTTTATTCTTCGAAACCTGTTAAGTTTCGTAGAGAAAAAAATAGGTTTTGTAGAAAAATACGGAACCTTCAGGGTTTCGCAATAAATATAATGGCTTTATACAAAACCCAGTGCGAAACCTTGAGGTTTAATACAAAACCCTAAAGGTTCCGTATTATGTTACAAAATCTATTTTTTTTCTACGAAACTTAAAAAGGGTTCGAAGAATAAAGGATCTTCACTTGGGTACACGGTAAGATCCTTTAAAGGTTCTGTGGATTTTTTTTATTGTATTTTTGAAACTTTGAACGCATTTGCACGCTTTTCGTCATCTACCGAACCTTTTTTCAAGGTTCGGTAAAGTACTTTTTTTTTACGGTGCACCCACACGCCACACCCTCCAATATTAACAAGCCGATAAATCATCCCGATAACATTAATGCACTATGGAATCCTTAACTGTATGAAGAACCTGTAATAATAAACAAAATTATAGAAATGAAAGAGAAGAATTTTATTCATCATTAGAATATAAGATGCTGATAGTGAGACTGATGAAGAAGATAAGGGCTACATATTTTTGACCACTTTCATCGTCTTGCCATTTGTCTATCATTTAATTAATATCAAAAGAAAAGGAAAAAGAAATTTAAATAGAAAAATCTATACACTCCTACGCAATGCCTACAGAAGACAACTTCAATTGTCGAAACGTCACATTATTATTGTATTGAAATAATTAATACTTATATATTATAATAAATTGAAATTGTTTGTTTTTATTTTTTATTTAATTTTAATTGTTGAATAAAGATATACAAAAAATAAAAAAATACATATAAGCAAAGACTAAATACATGCAATAAATTAGAGATAAAATTTCTAATGAAAAAAAAAACAACGTTTGTTTTGACAATATTCTCATGATTATTTTGCGCACGTTGTTATGCACATTTTTTTTCCTGTATTAGTATCGTGTCGTACAACTGTGCGAATGATGGATGAGAGAACAAACAAAACTATGGTTGAATTTCGAGAATATGATTTGTTCTCAGTAAAATGAATGAAATGATTAGTAAAAAAGTATACAAATAATCATCGTAAATATTGAATGGACAGTACAAAAATGATCAGGTTATCCGCACAAAACATAAAATCTATTCATATGAGGATTAATTTGGTACAATAAAAATAAATTTAAATACTAAAAAAACGCAAAATAAATTATGAGAAATTCAAAAACTGAACGAGAAAAAGAAAATGAAAGTTGACTTATTGGACAAACAAAACATTGAATGTTTGCTGGTCTACTTTTTTTCTTTTCACATCGATTGGCGTTGCTTTTGTCACTGCTGGTGGTGTTCAACATTTCAAAAAAATGGGCATACAAAGAATGTGTTTGTACAGATAATTCTTAGAAAAAAGCTGGACAGTTTTTGATGTGTTTCAGTTTGAATCATTCTCTATTTCCATAAACTAAATATCAAATGATTTTTTGAATATGAGTAAAATTTGTTGACTTCTTACTTATATATTTATCTAAATCGATTCAAACAACTATTTGTCAATCGTAAGCTGATATATCATATATTCTTGAAAAATCATAGAAAATACTAATTAAATCTTTGGTTGATTTAGCCCATTAATACCCATCCCATACCCTCGTTCAAATGACCAATTATCGACAGTGTATAAAGCTATTATGAAAAAATTTAAAAAACACGACGTTCTCTAAATCTTCCAGCATTATCATTTTATTCGAGTATATTATTATCAAAGACACAAGAGAAATCTAATACTAATTGGCTTTTATTTGTTGTTTATGTCCCGTTGCTTTATAAATAGCATTGGTGCTGATGTTAATACAGCTGTAGCATTGGATAATTGAAGCACTTTAATTTCTTCTATCGTTTTTTTTCTAATATATATACACCATCAATTAGAATCATACTATAATGCATTTTGATTTTTATATTTACCATTAAATTCAATTTACTTTTTTTTCGACTTATCAACAAGCCTAATTATTTTAATAACTAATCATTTAAATAATTTACTGATTATTTATTCAATTTACACATCATTGACTGTTTTACTGACCATTTCATTAATTCTACTGACTGTTTAAATGATGGGCTAAAATTTCTAAACAGAAAAAAACCAACGTATGTTTTGATGGTATTATCGTGACTATTTTACGCATATTACCATGCACATTTTTTTCTGTATTAGTATCGTAAAGCTGTACGAAGAACGAAAGAGAGAACAAGCAAAACAATGATCAAATCCCCAACCGACAGAAAAACAAGATATGTGTTGAAATTATTCCTATCATTTTTCGCGATACGGTTGCATGCCCGAGGCAATACATGCTTTTCAATGTATATATAAGCAACATTATAATTTAGTTAAAGCATTCAACAACGCCGATACATTACAGTGGTATTATTGTCCTGAACAGACAAGATTCTCTACGAATCCAACAAGTAAATGTATGTATCTGCAAAACTAGTTTCTTTAGAAGATCTTTTTAGTAATAAGTATAGAGGGGATTTTTCTGTCTTCAAGTAGTGACAATAACAATATATAGCTTATTTTCCTACAATGGTAGTTAACTTCCTTTTGATCAATTTGAATTTTGAGGAATAAAGATCTCGAATTCAAATAGGAACACATAGCTAGAGAAAGAGAACCTCAGAATTATTCACTCGCATTTAAATGTATATAAGTTCCTTTTCTCAGATGAGAGACTAGACGGTATATGGGTTTTGAGATGAATATTCCTTTATATAAATACAAGGTACCGAAGAAGCAAAAGTAAGTTTGTAGGGCAAAAATTTCGGCTTTTGCCGATAACCTATTTGTTATGAAAAAAAGTCAAATAAAAATAACGAAAAAATTGTCAGTTGTTTTTCTTTTCTTGTTTGAATTTCAAAACTGCTTGTTTTAGATTTAGTGTGAAAAGCTGAATCTATGAAAACCATTTAATAATATATAGATCTTTTTTATTGCTATGCTCAGAAAGTTAAAACATAACTTATTTTCATAAAAAAACAAGTAACGTTCATTGAAGGTTGGTTCACTTGTCTGAGGACTGAAAGATAATGGAATTTTATGTTACTAAAAATGTTTTTAGAATAATCAAAATCAGATGTATGAAACGTTTAACCCTTGATGCTACTAATTTGCATGAAATATTATCGAAAAACGTTTTCTTCCTTCCATATCGAGAATTTTATCATGACTTGTGAAGAGAACCAAAAGATCATATTGTAATAGAAAATCTAAATCGTTTTGGAGTTCGAGATTCATATTCTAAAACTTGGAGACCAATATTCGAGTGAATATTTTTAAAGAAAAGTCTTTAAATGAAAAATTTCAATACTAAAATCAGAAAACTTTGCAAAAAATACAAAATATTTCGGTTTTTACATTTCATCTTCCTTTGTCAGCATGTTTGACATAGTGGACCTCTTAAGAACGGTAGAAAATTCCGACATAGTCGCTATTTATTGAAAGATGATCTACTGTTTTCAGTAGATAGTCTTATATTCATTACCTACAAGTGACAATTCTTTATATCGATGGTTTTATACCGCCTATCCACAATCATTCTATCCATTTAATATCCAGCACTCTCCATTTGATTACGATGGACTTGGAAAAACCACATTCGATTTTTTGAAAGTTGACATATTAGTATTGGACTAAATTAATCTTGAAACTAGGTACCTAAAAAGATGCAATATCCAGTCAATGATGGCGTAGATAAATTTTAAATGGATCAGAGATCTTTCTAACTGTAGCAATTGTCATTCGATGCATTGCGATATGAGAGTGATGGATGCTTACAAGTCTTAAGCCATAGTACCAAATACCAATAAAAGAATTTAAAGAAATACTTTACACAATCTCATGAAATAATTGAACGTAAAGTCAGTTGAAGCATCATAAACAACAGAAAGTGAAATAGGACTTGAAAACTATGAATTATTAAGTAAAGATAAATAAATACTATTGGATTGTCAAACCCGCTTCGCAATCTGACAACATATCAGCACCAAGACACATATAGATAAAAAAATGCAAGGAAAAGCGAGATTTAAAAATAAGTATTAAATGCGAGTACTGAAACCAATCAGTCATCGATACAAACAGCGGTATTCTGGTTTTAGTTACCGATTCTTATACACTAGAATTTATAATCCAGAAAACCTGGGAGACTATTTTGTAGAAATCTATCCAGAATATTTCTTCACATGGAATATATTATTATTATCGTAGGAAAAATTATTATTTTTTTGGGTAAGAAGAAAGATAATGTTTCATGATATTTTCTTTGACTCTCGGTCAACATACACATACGTCGATAAATCTCAGTAACATATAGAGAAAGATAGTCTTTTTCACTTATATTTCTCATATGTGTTTACATTTTTTATTTTCATCAAAGATAGAAGACAGTGTAGTACTCTTTTCTTTTTTGTTATCTTTAGTGCATTGAACAATTTGCTGTTACAGCAAGAAATATCTGAAAGTATATTCTTGCATGTATCTCTTCATTTTTTCTTTCGTATGTGTTGCTAAGCAATAATTCAGAATGCTCATCGTCAGCAGATCAAATTCTGATGAGATGTTCATTCTTCTTTACTAGTTCTTCTCTTGGCTACTTGTCTTAGCTATCTGATATGACCGAAGTTCTCGGCTTACAAAAAGAATAGTTCTGATTGACACACAATAAAAACAAAATTCCACTAATCATTTATTTCTTTGTTTTTCATATCTTTCTTTTGTTACAGATTCCAAAAGATATAGAATATATCTCGAATATACACAAGCATTCATCAACAAGACGATAATTCAAAAATATGAGTCAACATATTGAATTGCCAGTTCGACGCAAAAACGCTCGCTTCGTGATTCCGGATTCTCAAGATTCAAAATCAGTTGGTCCTATCATCGGCTATGCTCAAGAGTTACTTCTCCCTCTTACAGAAGCATGTATACCATTGGTTCCAATTGTCTTTAATATATTGGTGTATGTTTCTGTTGCTCTGGAACGTGCTTCAGATAATCCATCAGATGGTTTGACAAGTGACGAATCAGCTTCGATTTGTCTCTACACGCTTGAATGGAATGATGGGCATAGAAGTCTCTATTCTATTCTCAATGAAACACTTAGAACAGCTGATCGAGAACATTTACAACCTTGGTTCAAGTACTTGAAACTTTTACTTACTGCCTTGGTCAAAATACAATGTGCATCTCAACAGACGATTTGGCGCGGGATACGAAAAGATCTTAGTCCCAAATTTCCTCCAGGAACTCAAGTGATTTGGTGGAGTTTCTCATCTTGCACAACAACGCTTCCTGTGTTAGAGAATGATCTCTACTTGGGTCAACAAGGGACTAGAACTCTCTTTTCCATCGACGCTTTCAACGCTAGGAATATACGAAATCATTCGTATTTTGCCAACGAAGATGAAATTTTATTGCTACCAGGGACATACATGAAAGTACAATCACAATTCAATCCGGCGCCTGATCTCCACGTCATTCATTTGAAACAGATGGTACCAGACAATATGTTACTCGAGCCTCCATTTGAAGGTATATTTGAAAGTTAAAAGATAAGAAGGCGTAGCATGGCTGTTGAAAAATTATGATCTGATAGTATTAATAGATTTGAAATTTTAGAACTTTTAGCTTCATTCAAGATTCATTATTAACTCTGTAACACGATGAATAGCTATTTGTCAAACTCATAGATGATTTACATATCATCTTTGTGTTTATATCAAAGGCGTTCTATTGTATTATTATTAAACATCCAGATTTCATGCGAGTTATGAGAGTGCTTTTTCATTTAGAAAGATTATCTTAAACTATGACCATTCTAACAACGCGTTCTCTAAATTTCTTTGACATAGTATGTCGTTGTTTATCGCACATATGTTGTATGACCTATTTTTGTCTATCTCTTAATAGCATGTCCTGTCCTCTAGCTCGTACATGTGAGTACCCTATGCATATAAGCCATGTTCATGAGCTATGTTTGGGTTTCTCTTGGAAGTTCAGGAAACAGGAGATTCATCTGTCTGATTAGTATTTCGCTTAACTAATAAATAGTTTCCAAGGAATAAATTAGATTAGTCTCTCATCTGAAATATATAGATGGATAGGATCGCTAAGCCGTTTATTATATTATTATGACTCACGATTAATGTCTTATCTGTCTGCATGAATAGATGAGTTAGTAAAAACCAAAAAAAGAATATCGAAAAATGAAGAACGTGCAGAGAATCCAAACAGCCACTTACCTAAAAATTGCTATCTTCACACTATTTTGCTAAAATGAGCTTTTCCTTCTTACAATAGAGAGGAGTTCCAACTGCTCATTCATGTATAAAAAATTATTAACATTGCTGAGAAGTATTATTATCTTTGTAAAACAGAAAGAATATTCGATTTTTCGTCGAAAATGAGTGAAGTATTTTAAATGTCTCTCATATAATTTGAATTCTTCGTGTTTGCTGATTTTCTCAATAAGTTTGAACCTAGCGTCGTTATTGCTATTATTGTTAAAATGATCAGCGGAAAGTGCTTGACAAAATGTAATCTCTCAAAACATTTCAGATACCTTTACTGTTTGGTGGTAAATCATTGATGCAAGTATCCGAAAAAGTCAAATTCTGCATTGAAATTTGTAGTATTAGATTCTAAATGTGTCAATAATCTGTTGATTTATGATTAAAATCTTGGAACTTTTGCGAATCGTTTGGAAACGTGAGCTAATTCAATAAAAATACGGAGAAGACACATAATGTTTTTGCTATGTAGCTTTCCGCACACTCTATAGGTTATATGTGAAAACTCGATGAGACTTAATCACAGCTGTTTGAAGTCATATTGTAGTATTAGTCAGCCAGTTTCCTTTATCTGGTATTATATCTAGTTTTTCATGAAACTTACAAATTTTAAAATATAAACTACTACTGATGTGCATGAATCGAGACATTCAAAATTTTGGATTGTGGCCATTCGAAACGCACTGTACATTCCTTAAAACTTGAATGTCTCGATCCATGCACACGAACGGCAACCTATATTTAAAATTTGTAAGTTTGGCGATCAGAGCTTCGATTCGACTCGAATGTTTAATTTCATTAACTGATAGCACAAATAACTCCATTGTAAAACATGTTGAATAATCTAAATGATTTGTTTTGAATTAAAATATTTATATGTATAGGTGCATGCATTTATCCGAAAAAAACTGAGTAAGTCTCGACACATCTTCATCTAATTGTATTTTTGACGGAATATTTTATTAGACCACCAAGACGTCATTGGTATCGCAAGAAACGATCCATCATTCCAATCAGCATATTGACGTCTATGTTAATCCTAGCAGTTGTTCTCGGTTCCTCTCTTGGATCAAGGTCTACTCGTAATGCATCTGGTATGCATTTTGATTTTCTTTTCAGATCAAAGACGAATGACACTTGAATCTCAAAGTCCTGATCGTTTCTTATTAATTGATTCATTTCTATACAATCTGTTATCTTTCCAGTTTTTCGTATGACCTGATAGAGTTTTCATTTATTTTTCGAGCACATCCCAATTACTTTTAATCCTATCAAAATCCCATTAAGGTTCCAATTGCAAACAGTGAATGATGTCGAGTCCTAATTCGTGAAGATCGCATGCATTTGTTTATAGATGATATACTAGCATTTCTTGCGTCAAGTTAGGCGTCATTTTGTACAAGCAGATGGACATATTAAATATATTCTAAAAGCTACTATTAAGATATCTATCAAAAAAAAATATCTAGTTCTTAAAGAAAGAAAGAGTCGAGGAATCAAGAAAAATCTTACAATATCTGATTTCACTACATGTATTTTTTTTCTAGACGTTTCGCTTTCAAGATATTATCTAGATTATTTTGTTGAAATGTTTCACATAAATATCAGTATATTGTCATAGAAAAAAGACTTGAAATTTGTTTACAACTAGGGGAAGAGTAGTCGTGTATTACTACGTGCTGTACATCGACTATAGAAACATGGAGTAAGTCTTTTTGAAAGGGGAGTAAGCAACATGTATGATACCAAGATTTTGCATAGCTGTGTTAGTCTCAATGAGTAGTACTAGTATAGAAAAATAACACTAAACACATGTAGAATAGTGAGAATTTAGCCGCCACACGGGATTATCTGCAATGCACTTTTCATAAACTACACAATTACCTGCGACACTTCTATAGGAAAACTTGAAGCAATATTAAACCTAAAATGGGTAAGGTTTTCCTGAGAGACAAAAACGTACAAATACCATTCGTTACAATACTTCAACATAGTTCAAGAGTGTGTCAGATTGATCCTTTATAATCTCTTGGCTATGTCAATGTCAAGTCTAATGGTAGGTTATCATTTGCCACAAACTCTAGTTTCAGGAATTGGTCCCTAGATCAGGTCCTCATTTGTGGACAATTGAACGATTGAATAAATTCTGGTGACCAAATAGGGACTTTTTGATTTAGGGATGTTTTATTACATTTACTACAGGTAACTTAATTCATTGGTAGATTATCATTTATCCCAAATTGGTTACCACAAATCAATCCCCAAATAAAATTCCTGTTTGGAGATTTTGATCTGAGAATTTATTAATTTGGGGATTTTTTTGACATGAAATATATCATGCATTCTGTAGTTTAATATCATTCTTTTCTCTTTCAAGTCCGTATTATCAAATATAATGAATCTGGTGACCAGAATGAATTTTGTATTACTACAACGAACAATTTCGAGGTGAATCTGGTTATCAGAATATAGTCTCGGTTGCTAGAAAGAGGACATTGTGGTAATCCAAGACACATTCTGGTAACCAGATTCACCTCGAAATTGTTCGTTGTAGTAATACAAAATTCATTCTGGTCACCAGATTCATTATATTTGATAATACGGATTTGAAAGAGAAAAGAATGGTATTAAACTACAGAATGCATGATACATTTCACGTCAAAAAATCCCCAAATTAATAAATTCCCAAGTCAAAATCTCCAAACAGAGATTTTATTTGGGGATTGATTTGTGGTAACCAATTTGGGATAAATGATAGACATTCGTCCACAAATGTGGACTTGATGTAGGGACCTATTCCGAAAACCACAATTTGTGGCAAATGATAGACATTCAGTCTAATATTGAATTAAATCGCATGAATACAGGTTTGAACCAATTTTATATAAGCCTGTCCGGTAATAAAGTGCAAATGCTTTATTGTGCTTCATTGATATTGAAATGTTGGAGTACAATTGAGTTTTGGGGCTTTAATATCAAAAAAGAGTTGTATAAAATGAACTCAAATTAATATGCTGGTGGCCAACATTGATAGTAGACTTCGTATAGCTAAGCAGTTCTAAAGGATAGATTTGACATACCTTTAGAGTACAACGAAGTTTAAGTGAAGTATGGACTTCTCGCTTTTTCATCATTATTAGCTTTCCTGAGGTATCTAAATGCGAAATGGAAATAAACAGCATACAATAAATTAAAGTTTTATTCGATAACGGAAAATCAACTGCAAATTCGGCAAACAATTCTCTAGTTGGTTAAAGGCACAAATTCTTCTGTAGCGATCGATATAAATCTTTTTGAGTTCCTGCATGTCGTTTTTTAAAGAATTGATTGTAGACATGTTTTCGTTGTCATATTTAACTACAAATGTACAGCTCACGCTGACGCTCATGAGTCGCTCATGGACATTAGCGTTTCTTCTATAATTCGCATGTGCAAGCTGCCTTTGCGATTCAAACCGTTTTCACCTATATTCATTAGGGCTATAAAACTCAAAACCGTGAATTGTACGAGCAAAACATACTGTTATTTGAGCCATATAAAAGAAGACTTCGAAAATTTCTGATCGACTCGAATGGTTCTATTATCTGGCTAGTTAGATTTTAGCAGAGTTTCTTTCTTCTATTTTAAGGACGAAACATAGTGTTGTTTGGTCTGATGAGAGGGATTTTGTGGTTCTTCTCCATATGACCCGAAGAGCAATACGTTTTATCCTTGCAATAGCTGAGAAACAGCTTCCTGGTATCTGATTGGTCGATAGTAGGAGTTTACAGTTCACATTCGTGAGTGATCACAAGGTTGAACTCTACAACCCTAACGAATATGAACAAAAACAAATTAAATATTAAAGGCAACTCACATATTCGAAGTAAAGAAGAAACACTCATGTGAGCGTTGGTGTAAGCTCTACATTCCTATATCCAACCAGATATACTGATGTCAATGACTATTTCTATTAGAAAACATGTATTAGAATAATTCTATTAACAAAATATTCATCAAAACAATCCCAAGAAAATTAATGAGCAAAACTCTCCCATACACTCGAGACCACAATGCGATTCCGAATAGTGCATGTGATATTACAAAAGTGAATCTGTCACTATTTCTCAAAACCTTCCAGAGTCGTATGCGACTACAATGGAATGAACAATATCTACAGCATAGTTTGCACAATTCATGTTTCCCGAGAACTACACATAACAATTGACTGAGTAAACTTCTATCTTATAATGAACGGTGAGCGGACAACTGATCACGGACAATTGATCATGAAGGGTCATAAGATCATTGTTATCGTTTATTATATAAAAGACAATGTTATAATCATTTTATCTTATCATTTATCATCAGAATTTTCGTCGTCATTCACATTGCTCGATATGACTCTCCAATTCGTCAAAAGTCAACGTAGATCTGACAAGCTTGTTCAGGATGGATGGCTTCATACGGAGTATCGCCGATCTGATGAAGGAAAAATCTTCTATCGTTGGGATTGCCACAAGAAGACATTGGGATCATGCATGCGAAAAGTTGTTGTCCAGAACGGAACTATCAAAGAGATATGTTTCATAAATCCAATATTAATAACCAACTGTGTCTTATATAGATGTTCGATGTTCACAATCATGCCGGCGATCCCTCACTGGTTAATCAAGTCAAACTTGGAAATAAATGACAATTATTAATTATCGAACGATGTTTTACGATCAACTGTTCAAGATCAGTTGTCCCTTATGATCAGTTGTCGTCATTATCAGTTTTTCCATGATCAGATGATCATGACCAGTTGTCCGTGATAAGTTATCCCATGATCAGTTGTCCTAGACCCATAATGAACAGATCTCTCTTGCAGCTACGTACATTGAAGCCTATTCAAAGATCAATCAGCACGTCAAAAGCCATGTTGTGGAAGGGTGACTCCTCATCGAAGAGAGTTATAACGTCTTGTGCAGCTACAGCGATTGAGAAGCTATTTTCTTCCTGCATTATGGACTCAAGTAACTACTTAAAGTTCATAAATTTAAAATGCGAGATTTTAGTTTTTCAACAAAATGAAAGTTCTGATCAGCTATATATCAATAAATCCAACCTAAAACGATCAAAAGTTTCACTAGTGTTATATTATAATGCATCCTATCACTCTATCTGCTCTGTTGTTAACATCTAGGCTCAACTGAATCCAATACATTCAAAAAAGGAAATATCTCTTTTAAGTTAAATCGATCTCTGCTCAGAAAACTATTTACTTTTCTCAATTATTATAGATCAGAGATGCTCAAGTTTTGTACGAAGAGACCGATGGGACATGCCTGAAAATGACATATTACCTCCTCCTGCACGACAACCTGATTATGCTAGCTGCTGCTCACAGTGTCAAGCAACTCTTGAATGTATTGCTTTTACTTATTCGCCATCAAATCAACAATGTTCGCTGAAAAAAAGTATTGGTGGTGGTGGAAACCCAACTGGCGATAAAATTTCTGGATATAATCGTGAGTTTATCAACTCTCTGTTAGACAGTGTTGTATGGTCAGCAAGAAAAACTTACTAAACAAAGATGCTCTGTCGAAGTGTACTAGATTATTTGAAAAGCATTTAAGAGAAAAGTATACTCTGAATAATGTTCTTCTAACACATTTGTTGCCGAAAAATTTGCATAAGGAACATCTGAAAATCTTTCCTTGTTGATGGAAGAAATTCCTGTCACTCAAAATGAGTATATAAACAAAAGTTCTGTCTGTTTGTTAGCTTTGTGCCTTTTCAATCAGAATCTATTGCTTCTTAGATATAATCAACAGAAGAGACTTCTGTGGACGGGTAAGCGGAACCTAGAGTCACTTTATATGTTGATTGATCATTTTTTCTTCTCCTTTTTTGCACGCATGTCATCCAAGAAAACAAATTAGACTCTTCTTACTCTTTCTTGCAGCAAACCTTCGGTGACATGAAAGATGAAATATTCTCCATTCTCTGTTGTGAAATTATGTTGAATGGACTAGAAAGAAAGAACACAATGAGAGAGAAGAAAAAAATGAAAATATTCTGGTTGAGGTTTCAACCTATTCTTTGCATCAAGAAAGGCCATTCTCGCATATTTTTATCACAGAGCAACATGAGATTTAAGGCCACTTTTCTTCAAGTTTTCACAATGCACTTCGGGAATTGGGCACAAAGACTCTAAGCTTTTGCTGTTTTTATCACTCGCGGAAATGTACTAGTATTTACAAGTCATGAGCAGTTCAGTAAGGACAGAATAGGAAAGAGTAAAACACACATTTGAGCAAAATTTCACTGTATTATAGAATCACAGTTAATGTGATGACTTTTTCAAATTCTACATCTGCATAATGAATGCTATTGAAATTATTCTTTTATATATGTTATCACAGCGGATAAGTGTGGTGGTTTCGTACGTAAAGACAAGTGGGACATACCTGGAAATGACATATTATCTTCTCCTGTAGAACAGCCCGATTATGCAAGCTGTTGTTCACAATGTCAAGCAATTTTTGGATGCATTGCTTTTACGTATTCTTCATCAAGTTATGGATGTTCGCTGAAAACAAGTATAGGTAGTGGTGGAAATTCAAGTGATGATAGAATTTCTGGATATAATCGTGAGTGTTTCAACTCTTTGTTAGAAATGCGGGAAAACTAAACTCTGAACAGCTTTCTTGTGATATGTTTTTCCAGGAAAAGTTTGCATATGCAATGTCCGAAAGTCTTCCTTTGTTAATGCAAGAAATTCTCTGTGACCGAAAGTTCGAGTCTGAAAGATTTAATGTCTATCTGTTTGTCAGTCCTACGCTTTTTCAATCAGAATCTATTGCTTCTTAGATATAAACAACAGGAAGCACTTTACATGCTGATTGTTAGTTTTTTCTTCTTCTTTTCTGCAACAAACTTTTAGTGACATGAAAAATGAAATTTCTTCTTTCTCTATTACGAAACAAAGTTGAATGGACAAGAAAGGAAGGACAAAATGAGAGAGTAGAAAACGAAAAGAACAGAATATACAACGAAAACGCTCTTGATGAGACTGCGGCCGCGCCCTTGCATCCAGAAAGGGTAGCTCTATGCAGTTGTATCACTCAGTAACAGGAACTTTCATGCTATTTTTCTTCAAGTTTTCGGAGTCACTACTTCTGATTTGTGAGCATTAAGAAAATTAGGTTTAACGAAGATATGTTTTAAATTATTAGTTGATTTTAGCTGGACAACTCCACTAATTTTCTCTATAACAAATAAATTTGATAATTAAACTTTTAAAGATTTCATGAGGGAGAAGCCATATGGGTAATAAGTGAGTTAGAAAACTGAATAATAACTTATTTTTATATTAATAAAATACATTGCAATTTGTAGATAACCTAAGCTTTTGATCAGAAAACCTTGTTAAATATAGTGGGGATGCTGAAATGTGTAGTAATATCATAGTGTACAAGGGATGGTCATGGATTTGGCCTTAGCTAAGAAGAAATTTTGTCAATGTCAATGCAAAGTTTCACAGATGTTTCATTGCAATTTAGTGCCAATCGATTATTATTTATTGTAGGCGTGAAGTAGACCAATAGGAGAAGAGATAACGATGAAGATAAGATGCTCACTAATCCCGTATTTCATGACTGTCAATTTTACAACATCATATTCTGTTTATTTTTTATTTTTGTATGAAAATGCATTAGCACGTTGTTTGGTTTATGTTCGTTTGATTTTCAATTTCATCTCATAATGTACATTCAATCATAGGTTTAAGCTCAACAAAAGGAGCTCATCACAATCTCAGTAATTATTATATTCAGTAAACTTTATTCCGTGCAATTAATTAAAAGGAAGAAAAATGCTAATATCGACCCCAAAACATAAGGCAGGTAGCTCATTTATTATAAATTTTGATAGAAACAAGATAGAGATTTTTGTTTTTCAGCACTGGAAAGGAAATTGTTTTCTTCACCAAAGTAAGTCATATTCTAATTGGTCATCAATTGACCAATCAGGTGAACGATATTGTAAAAGTTTTTACCATTGGATTTTGATTTGAAATTCAATCATTAGATAAAAAAATTGTTTCATTTCAATATATACAAGGTCGAGCTCTCTAGCTTGTTTCGTCCAGGAGTTATTGGCATTTTTCTAAGACGCCTAAAATCGGCCAAACGAACTTCAACTGAATCAGAGTGAGTTGGAATCAGGTTAATCGACACAGTTGAGTCAAGTGTTAACATTTGTTTTCATTTTCGAAGTTTATACTGGTATAGTAGAGCTCGACTGGAGCTCATTTGATAGGTTTCTGGAGTCTCAGAAAAACGCCAATAACTTCTGAACGAAACAAGCTAGAGAGCTCGATCTTGTGTACATCGAAAGGGAAGAATTTTCTCGATTTAATGTTTGAACTTTAAGTCGAAACTCACTGGTGAAACTTAGCAATATCGGTTACAAAATGTCAACCTTATCCTTCACCTAATTGGTCAATTGGTGACTAATCAAGTTTTGCCTTATTTTAATGAGAAAAATAATTTTCTTTCGAACGTTGAAAACCGCAAGTCTTCATCTTGTTTCTATCAAAAGTCATTAAAAAAATAACTACCTGCCTTATATTTTACGATTGATATTGATTTAGTGCGTCCTATATGTTGCAGCATATTGAACATTAATTATGAAGCCTAATATTTAGAAAGCTCTATAAATCGTAAATAGTGGAAAATAGAACTAAAAATACATAAGCAAACAGACGTCGATTTTTTGTGTTTCTTAGGCAGAAAAGGCACAAATTTTCAGTATTTTTATCTATGTTAGTTTTAACTGTAATTTTGACAAACACTCGAATTTTTGTCCAAATTACAGTAAAAGCTAACAAAGACAAAAAAGCTGAAAGTTTGTGCCTTTTCTTCTCAACAATCGCGAAAAGTCGATGTCTGTCTGCTTTGGTATAAGCTTCATAAAAATTGGTAACAGAAAATTTTTCAAAAATTCAAGCCAAATTTGTAGCTTTCATTTAAATATTTCGAAAAGTATACTTCATACAAATGTTCTCTCAAACTCAGTATACATATTTTCAAATTTTAAAAAACTAAATTTTGAGAATGAAAATTGTTGCCTATTCTAGTGAATTAAATTAGAAAACCAATTGAATTTGGGTTTTACGGCTGTAAACATGAAGGCATTTCTTGGAATGCAATGCAAGAATTAGGCACAAAGGCTCTAAGCTCTTGTTTTTTGGTCGCCCACCAAGGCTTACTATTATTCGCAATTTATGAGTAGCTTAGTAACGACAGAATAAGAAAGAATAAAACACACATTTGAGTAAGAACACAGTGAATATGCTCACTTTTTTCGAATCCTCCAGTTACACAATGGCTGCTATTAACATTATTCTCTTATTTATGTTTTCACAGCGGATAAGTGTGGTGGCTTCGTACGCAAAGACAAGTGGGACATACCTGGAAACGACATATTGTCTTCTCCTGTAAAACGACCTGATTATGCTAGCTGTTGCTCAAAATGTCAAGCAACTTCTGGATGTATGGCTTTTACGTATTCTCCATCAAGTCAACAATGTTCGCTGAAAACAAGTATCGATAGTGGTATCAACACAGCTGACGATACCATTACTGGTTACTTACGTAAGTGAATTAACTTGAATTCAGTGTTCGGCACAAGGATATGTGAAGGAAGAGGGATTGGTCGTAAAGTGTGCGTATACTTGTGAGTATGAGTGTGGATGTGAAGCATCGGTTTCGCTAGATTTCACTGTATCTGTGGCTGTGGCATGACTTCAGAGATGAACCACACTCACAATCACAACGACTTCCTCAAACTGATATTCACACACGTTTTTAGCTGATTTGCATGCTTTCTGCTCATTGCAGTTAAGAGTGAGAAATTCGAAGCATCATGGATGTGTTGAAGTGGTTGTGTTTTGAGCAGAACAAACATCCGCACCCACACCCTCAATATTGACTCTTTTGGAAACTATTTCCGATTATCGTAAGATCATTTATGTTGCCTTCGACGGTTATGAGTTCACGTTTTCCTCTATATTTATTCTTTTACGATAATCATTTGTATTATGATATGTATAATTGACTGACACTTTGTTCTTAAAAACGACCCATTGTTATAAACAATCTTATAGATATCAAATCTTAAACTAAAGAATGTAGATTGTAATTAATAATATTTTTTACATGAACTGCAATGCATTACTTTCGCTAAAAGCATACAGTCAAATTCCTTATTAATGAAAAAAGTAAGTTTTAATAATAAGGGACGTGGGTGTGGATGTCGATAGGACTTTTATTCATCGACATCCACATCTGCATCCATACTCGCACATTCACATCCATTACTGGTCTCAGTATTTCAAAAATGCACCCTTCTCGACAAAAAATGCTTTCCAGAAATCTCAAAGTTCTTAACAAGAGCTTCCATATTTCTCTGCAAACATGGATTCTCATTAGAATTGTTATGAAGTTCTGTTTTTGTTGCATAGGAAACTAGGAAAACCTTTTACTTGTTTAGAGTATGTAAGGAAAGGGCATTCTCCAAAGGTTTTTTCAAGTTCGCTTCGAAGAAGAAGAAGAATGTTTTATTCGTAGGCAACGATCATAATGATTTCTTTTCTTTTTCTCATTCACTGTAATAATTTCCAATATTCCATTCGATGTCTGATGGGCACATATTTTTAGGATCTCAGATTTTGAAATAGGATATTACTATTTAGTCATTAAGATGCTTTTTTAGCGTCCCAATACAATGCTGTGAAGTTGATAATCAAGAAAACTTGATAATAGCTTTCTAGAGCACTTTTTCACTATGGCGCTAAAAAGGAGCCTTTGCAAACTCTACCTGAAATCTATAGATCCCTACGTTTTAGTATGGAGAGTTTCGATACGGTTAATATTGGAGTATTCAGTACTTTAAAAGCAGACAAGATTGGTTTCCAATGATTAGCATCGAATCCTTCCACATTTTCTCAGGTTTAGATTCATACAAATCTACTACTGCTCGTGCTAAGATCCTATCTGGGTTCTCCTTCGAAACGTTTGCAATAAGTTTACAGAAAAAAATCTAACAAATATCATCTGCACCGTACATACGAATCACAGATTCTCGAATCAGCCAAACGACCCCCCCCCCCGTCATTACCTCCTCTCACGTAGCGTCTATCATGAAAACGATCTTTTCCCACAGTTTCTCAATCACCCACAAGAATCATTGTCTTTTTATATCATAAGATTAAGTAAAATATACTTATTATACATAAATAGGTTCAAAAACAAAAACAAAAAAATGAGGTACAACTGCAGAAGAGCGACATTCTCTATCATATTTCGTGTAATTGATCGGGTACATCAGCGAGTGTGGGCTCGACCGTGTCGTTCTTCTGCAATTGTATCCAAAATGAGATCAAATTAAATAAAAATCATTTATTTTTTTATTGAACGAATAAATAATGCATTGTTCATTTGTTGTGGATTTAAACGAGTATATCTAGAATTGATCATTAAACTACTGGCACTAAACTCGTGGTCGATATTAGTCATAGTTGATGGAATTGATAAAACACACCGAGTAAGCTTTGATGATATCGGTTAAATGACTCCTTTTGGTTCTATTTCATCGACAAGTAAAGAATAATTAATTAATTTTCCTTTTCCATTGGCACTTTATTCAACAGTAAATTTAAAAAAATACGATATTAGGGAAAATAATTCTAATAGCAGAAATTAGACAGTAAATACTAAGGAGATATAGCTTGTACGCACAGCACGGCGCGAGAATAAAGATATCCAATAAATTGGTGCTCATACCAAAACTTTCAAGGATTATCGTAGATTCAATCGATTTCAATTCGTTGCTTTAAATATTTGCCTAACCCATTATCTTGCTCATCATCATATTAAAAATATGCATCTTACTAGCGTATTATTAGCAAGAAATTTTATCATAATTCACCAAACATTATATTGTAAGTAGTCGAGTCGACTCGTCGATTAGGCGGAAACACTCGGCGAGCATCATATCTCTGATGCGAAAGTTGCGAGTCTCCTCAGTAGACTTGCATAAATCATCCAGAAAATTATGTGATCAGGACTTTTGTCCAACCACGTGAACAGTATCTCAAAAGATTCATACTGGACTCTTAGATTTACCCAAATAGATGCTAATCGCAATGTATATTCGTGTTCCTAGAACTTCGGAATTCCTACTCTTTCCATCCTCCTAACAGCATCTTTATATAATTCCTTAAACGCAAATCCTCAACGATTTAAGGCTACGCGTACCCTTTCTGATATTCATCGGTAATATTTTGTCTTGGAAACGAAGAATAAAATTCTCAGATCTCTATGTTTTCCAATCGATAGGTAGCATGCTATAAGCATTAGACTTTTTACCAATTTTGACAATGCTAACATGTGCATTAACCTGAAAGCCTACCTCGTCAAAGATTAGTGTGAAATCTTGTCACACTTCCTCAGCTTTCCACACATGTAACCTCTATATGATGTTGCTAAAATCCTCTCAAAACAGTTTCTTGAGAAGAGATTCCCATAATTTAGCAAAAGCCTTGTTGAAAATTATCATGTCTATCGTCTATGAGAATGTTTAGGTTACCCTTCGAAAGATTTACGTTGCTTAAAATCATGTCTACAGCTCATCATACAGATTCTGAAACAATTTCATCAGATATAGGATTAGCATGTCTCTTCTTAGTATTTCAAAAATGCACTCTTTCCGAAAAAAATTCTTTCCAGAAATCTCAAAGCTCTTCGCAAAAACCTTAAACACATCTCTGCAAACACGAATTCTCATAAGAATCATTACGAAGTTCTTTCTTGTTGCATAGAAAACTAGGAAAACCTTTTATTTGTTTAGAGTATATGAGGAAAGGACATTCTCGAAAGTTTTATCAAGCTCCCTTCGAAGAGGAATATCTTATTTGGAAGCAACAGCAATGATGATTTCTTTTCTTTTTCTCGTTCATCGTAGTAATTTCCAATATTCCAGTCGATGCTCAATGGGTACAGAATGGAGTGACTGTTGCTGGAGGAAATGAACCTGGCAATGCCACTAATCAACTCGGCCTGCCTAAGGGTCTCTTCATTGATGATGATCAAATGATGGTCATCGCTGACTACTACAATGATCGTATCATCCAGTGGAAGATGGGTGATACGAATGGACAAATAGTAGCTGGTAAAAATGGCTCAGGAAATCAATTGAATCAACTGAGTGGTCCAACTGATGTATTGATCGAAAAAGAGACAGATAGTCTCATTATTTGTGATTGGGGGAACGGACGAGTCGTACAATGGTCTCGTCGTAGTGGCACAACTCAAGGAGAAATTCTCATCGATAGTATTAGTTGTCATGGGTTGGCCATGGATGATCAGAAATATCTCTACATCTCTGACGTCGGAAAAAATGAAGTAAAACGATATCGAATAGGAGACAAGAATATAACTATCGTGGCTGGTGGCAATGGACAAGGTGATGGTCTCAATCAACTCCACTATCCGGTCCACATCTTTGTCGATCGACAACAGACTGTCTACATGTCAGACAACTGGAATTTTCGTGTAATGAAATGGAATAAAGGTGCAAAAGAAGGAATTGTCGTCGCTGGAGGCCAAGGCGAAGGGAATGCTCCAACACAATTATCAAGTCCTACAGGACTATTTGTCGATACATTGGGTACTGTTTATGTGGCAGATCTCGTGAATTATCGAGTGATGCGTTGGTCTGAAGGAGCAAAACAAGGCACTATCATTGTGGGTGGAAATGGTCAAGGAGCAAGAGAAAATCAGTTGAACTATCCCGAGAGTTTGTCCTTCGATCGACATGGCAATCTCTATGTCGTCGATTCGGTGAATGCTCGTGTTCAACGTTTTTCTATTCAATAGAGTTGAAGCGATGGATTAATTTTTTTCTTTTCTTTCATGTCAAATAAATCACGTTGAATTAATAAAAGAAATGATTTATTCTATTCGCACGCATGACCACGAATCACTCTGATGGTGCCGTGGCAGGCGTAATGTTCATCCACATGCACCCATCCGATGACATATGACAGTGAGACTGGAGCCTGGACATGTACGGACGGACACCAGAGTGGTTTTCCGGCCGAAATTTTAAGGATCGCTCGAAACTCCTTCAGATAGCAGGAGTCTAACCTCAATGGACGTAACTCACCCTTCCCCCTACAAACGCTCACTTATGTTAGTCTCACCCTACTTTCATCTCAAAAGAAAAAAAATATACTCATGTGGTTTATTGTTGGAAGACAGGACGTGATGATATGGAGGACTAAAAGGAAAAGAAATTAATCAATGTTATATAATAAAAAGAAGAATAAGATAAGTTACCCCACTGTTATCTGAATTCACTGTTTAACACCTAAAATTAAAAAAAAACATTAATAAAAAGGCCAATGAAGGACTTATCATCCTCCATATAATCCAAAAGAAAAAAAAGAAAAATAATATCTACATATTGATTTTATTGTATTGTCCGACGTTGAGTTGTTCCATATTGTGTTGTTGAAACCAAACTAAAACAGAAAAGAAAAATATTATTTATTTGATTCAAATGATCGAATAATTTCTTCGATGGAAATCATTCAAATTTACATCCTCAAGGAACACATTGAGAGAAAGAAAAACAATTAATTTTTATTTTAATTCTGATGAAAAGACGGATCTAATTAAGCCGTAATCAGAACGCACATATACATCGAGATAAATTTAGTCATAATATCTCCGATGTATGTGTGAATCAAGCCTAATTATTTTACATTGAGAATTATTTATCTTATTGTTGATCATCAACGATAAGATAAACGATCAATTAAGGGCAAAACAGAAAAGAAGAAAATTCATTTCTTGTCCTATTTTCTTTTTTCTTTTGTTTGACACATTTTGCTGATATAACAGAACGAAAAGAAAAGAAAAAAAAACATGATGTCTCACATGGCCAAGCGTGAAAGCACAACAGACGACGACACACACATGCACAATTACTTTTTTTGTGAATATGAATTTAATCTGACAGAATGTTAGGCTTATCTGAGTCCAAATGCTGAAAACCTATTGATTAAAGTCATGCTATAAAAGTAATTATTTATTTATACGATTGATACGTTATTTAATAATTCATATTTGATTTAGAATATGACATGTGAACTATGTTAAGATTAAAACATTGCTTGTTACAAGTTATCTATCGAAACTTATATGAAATATTATCAATAGCAGCATATTCAATTAAATACTTTCGATGGATCAAAGTAAAATTGACATGCTTCTAACGTTTTTCGTCAATAAAGACGATATTTTTTGACATTAAACGGTTAATTAACTGTATGATCGATTGTTATACTTGACATACTATAAGATGTAATATTTGTGAATAATACTTATTTACTTGAAGGACGTGTTTTAAACATGTAACTCAAGTAGTTGAAACAAAAAGTAATTGTTTTTTGTTTAAAAATTTTCTTCGAATTTTAGTTTTTGATACTTTGCCTGCGTACATGACAACAAAAGATTGGAACAAGCGTTAAAAAACATTCCTGAATGTAAAGATTAATTTATTATGAATATATCAGGTAGATGCACTATTTCATTTTATTATATTTTTCATTATTTATTTTTTTTAATTTAGATTCATATGAAACTAAAATGGACAGAGTTTGAAAACTAAAAATTTTAATCCCTTGAGTCCTGGCGACGCATATGTGTGTCCAAATGCAGTTATTTGTGAAAGATGCTTCTAATATATTCTTTAATTGTTTGAAACATCTTTTGATCGTTTATTAGGTGATAACACACTAGTACAATCCTTCTTTCTTTCTTTTCTGCTCGTTAATATTACACATCTATGCTCTATGTACTTTCTTTCGTTCTGTATGATAACACATATCATCACCCATTCTAGCACAATCACTTTCTTCGTTCTTTTGTTGGTATTGACTATCTACTATTCTCCCTAATACTCTCTGTTTAGTTTCGATCGTTCTGTAAAGTTCTAATCAGTTCTGTTTTACCTAGAAAGTCTAGTAAGTTCTTTCTATTTCTGAATTGTGGCATATATATATCCATCGCTCGAGCAATAAAAGACAAGAGTAATAACGAAGTGAACATATGTATTCCTCTTTGGATAACAATCATATACTTTAACAACCAATCTTACACATCTTCACAATGACGACTACAAGAAAGCGACTCCTGAATGAGCAAGAAATTGGAGAAACTATGAATAACTCTGGATCCGACTTATTGTCAGAAGATGAACTTCTAGCAACTTTTGATTGTATATCTATCGATTCTGATGATGAAGATCTTCCAGAGGAATGTCAATGGCACTGTGAAACTTTCACCCCAACCATATTGCAGTTGGGTGTGGATGTGGGTGTGGGTGTGGGAGTGGGAATAAGCAGAAGATCCTCCCCCACACCCACACCCAGATATCTGAACACTAACTTTCTGATTCTTATATTATTATCTGATCATATTTAAATGTATAATGGTATTGAATGTATAGTGTAATGATTTAAAATGAATCATTAATTTTGTTTAGCTACAGACAAAAATAAATCATTAAAAAGAAAGTAGCGACAACAATTTATTGCTTAAAGTAGAAACAAAATCATTGTATGACTTTTATAGCAGATCGTATTGCATTTATTTATATGGCCGAAATCTTCGATCATCTGAAGAATAGAACAAGATCTTTACTTATTCGAAAAAAAGTCTTGTCTCATTGAATAGTGTTATGGCACATTGGATAGATGTGCTATAAGAAACATTTTATGTGTTGTCCATATATGTTCGTTCTCTTTCTTTTGATTCTTCCTGTACTTTCGTTCTTTTCTTTAATAAAATCGTTTTCTTTCGTGTCTTTGATTATATTTTTCTCTTTCTTGTAAAAGTCAAGAAATGTTGTTCTTGACCTTGAACTGAAAGTTATTGCGTAGTTAGTAATGTGTAACAACATTATATACATATATATATATATATATGCATGGAACGACATTTGCCCGCGGCACATTTGCGCGCCGACACTTCCGCGCCGACATTTGCGCGCATGACACTTACGCGCGCGATACTTGCGCACAAAATCATTTTTTCTCCGCTTGAGTTCGGTCTCGATCGCATATGACTAGGGATGTTGCTTAGGCAATAGATGCTGGCTGTGCGTGTTGGTGTAAGGGTTAAGTATTACGGTAGTCTCAATCCTGGTTGTTCATTGAGAAATCTTAAAAGAATCTTTCAGAATCCTTGACTTCAAGAGTCTTGTCAGGTTTTCTCCAAGATCCTGCCGCATTTCTTGATATTACGTCTTTCTTGGATTTCGCATGGGGTCAAGAAAAGTGGGCTCCAAATTGCGTAGTCTAAATTTCGAGCTCATTTTCCTCTCAGCCCCTCTGCTATGATTTATAGCACCATCCAGAATGATGGTAGTTTTTTCTGGGATGCTACTGGCATTTTCTCGGATACTAGGCAAACACCTGTGATGTTAGCAGCGTTCTCTAGGAAGCTACTAGCATTCAGTGGGATGCTAAAGTGCTCTCTAAAATGCTAGTACCGTTTCCTGGAATGCTAGTGGTATCCCATGAGATGCTAGAAGCATTGCCCAGGATACTAGTAGCATTCTCTGAACTACTGGTAGCATTCCATGAGATGTCTGTAGGATTTACTGAGATGCTATTAGCATTTGCTGTGATGCCAGAAGCATCCAATAGGATTCTAGAAGCATTTTCTGGGGTGCCAGAGCCATTACCGTGGATCCTAGAGATATCTTCTTGGATGCTAGAGGCATTACCTACGACGTTACTAGCATTTTTCGTCATGCTTATAGCATCGCAGGCAATGCCTGCAGCATCCCAGCCAAACTCTCTAGCATCACAGATGATGGCCACAGCATCAGAGAGATTTGATATTAGCATCATAGGCAATGCTAGTGGTATCTCAGGAAATGCCTCTAGCATTCGAGCTAATGCTATTAGTACTCTAGGTGGTGCACGAATCATAACAGAAGGATTGAGAAGAAAACTGAGCTCTAAATTTGGGGTTCATATGCGGAGCTCACTTTTCTTGACCTTCACACAGTTAGTCAGGGTGCTGGTTAGGATCTATCCTGGTTCTTATGAAAGTATGTTTCTAAATCATGAATGCAGCATCCTATGAGGATTCAAGCTTAGTCCTGCTTAGTATCCTGACAGGAGTAATAGAGATGATTCTTTCAAGATTTCATGCACTTCGGACGCAATCTTTTCAGAGTGCTGACTGGATCCTGCTAGGAATTCTACTAGTATCTTGAAATCTTGTGGCTATACACCTCCTTCAGGATTTAGTCGTTTCCTCAGGAGAAAGCAGCGAATCATTTAAGGATCCTGATTGGATTCGTTAGGGATCAGACGCAGAAACATCAAAGATTTTCCCAAGGGTAGTGACGATGTATCAATGATTGTCTCGAACTAGTGCTCTCCCATTGCAGTGGCACCCACCTTCCGCTACCATCACACTCAAACCCGAACGCAGACTCATTCCATGAAAAGAAATCATTTTGCGCGGATACGTCTCGCGCGTAAGTGACGTGCGCGAAAATATCGTTGCGCTCAAGTGTCGCTGCGCAGAAGAGTCGTGCGCTCAAGTGTCGTGCGCGGGAATGTCGGCGCGCAAGTGTCGGCGCGCAAATGTCACGCGCGCAAATATCGTGTAATCATGTATATGTACTTACATATGTATGAGAAGAGTTTTGAAAGTTGTTATTGTGATGAATATGTATAACTGAAAAAACACGAAAGTAACATCTTATAAATATCCATATACACATCAACGTGAATCAGGACATAATAGATAGAATCATTACACCAGGAACGTTTTCAGAAGGAAGATTGATCTTCCAAAAAGACTTAAATACTTGGAAAAGATGCGGAGTGATTAGTTTTTGACTTGTGAAAAACTACCCTTTTTCTGTAATGGTTCTCCTCTTCTTTAGAAAAAATTCCTGTGAACGTTTCTGATCATTATCAAAACTCTTTTGTCCTATTTCACATGGAACTTTATTTTATAAGCAAAATATGTCGTAAGACTTTGTTTTTGTAATTTATTTTGAACAAACAATTCGTCGATTACAAGATGAATACAATTATATAGCACAAGTTACTTGGATCAAGTCGTAGTAAAAGGTAAATAATTTTTTTTTTTTTTATATAGAAATTTTAATTTAATAGCATTATATAGGTGCTGATCTTATTCAATTAACTAATTTTCTTGATGATACATTAAGTCATATTCGTTGAAGAGGTCCATCGTCGACGCCATCAACAACTGGATCAACAGTATTAAGAAGAAAAAAAAATCCATAGGTTAATATTTTTATCCTTATTATATTTCTATAAGATTTGTTCTCAATGTTGTCATTTAAAACGCGCACTTGCATTAGAATTAACTGACAAAGAATGTTTTCTTTTCGGTTATGAACAACTTTTATCTGTTAGTAGTTAGTATTAGAAAAAAAATTATCTTTAAAATATTCTTTTTCTTTTCTTTTTGATTTAGATGATTAAAGAAGTAACACTGATACTTCGAAGACAAAAACAAGATTGTGAAGCAAGAAAAGTAATAAATAAATAAATATTTAATCGTCTTTTTCATATGAAGAGAATTTTTTTCTGTTATTAAAGGAATCATTTGAATTACATCAAATGTCAGGTGAAAATATTGAAAATTCTCGTTATATTCAACGTGATAATCAATTTCTTATTATTAATAATAAATCACTTGCTACAAAGATCAGTTGGTTTTTCAACTAGACAAAATTTTAGAAAAATGAATTTCAAGTCAGAATACCTATAAACTATTTTCTTGATTTCGAGTTAATAAAAAAAATCGAACAGCCATCTATTATAATTGATAGCTTTATAACAATCTTTCAAATTCAAATCACTTTGTTTCCGACTTTTTAACTTCTTGCTTCAAGCTTAGCATACCCAAAAATTGTATCACAGTAAATGTCAACGATCGAAAATTGCTCTCAGCTTTTGAGTCTTCTGAGCTACCGTTGAATGCAGATTAACAACGTGATAATTTATCGAATTTTCATTCTTGTGCAGTCTTTTCTTACTTTTTTCTAAACAAAAATCATCCTTCTCTTTTAATCTTTTTTTCATTAAAATTTCTCTTTTTTTTCTTTTCATGCAGGCTGGTGGCGGTATGCCAGTATTATATTAAATCAATAATCTTTGATAATAATATATAAAGATTTCTTTGTTCAAACTTCATTTGAAACAGAAACAATATTATTTCATGATCGTGCTATTGATTGTTTTGGTTTAAGTAAGTTTAACTAGCCAATCAGTAAACAGCGTGTGTAGTAAAGAAGAATTTTCTTTCGTCTACTTTGTTTGTTTTTGTCATTAGAGAGAGAGAAAAACGTTCCAGATAACTATATACATATATATATACATACATATGATATAACATCGATCTGTTAAAACAAAACACAACGATGAATCCTACTTCAATTGACTTTCTTGCTTGTTTAAAAAAAGCAAACGTCAATGTAAGTTCAAGTATACAGTGAAATTATTTTCATAGTTTCGAATAAATCTCCTTGTTTTAGATCACAGAGTTATGGAAAGTTGAATCTAATCAAACAGATAAACTCGATGCTGCACGAGATCAATATGAAGCTGCTATTGAACATAGTGGCGATACTGTAGCACCAATAAAATTACTTGAAGATAATGTTTCGTTGAATTTAGCATTATCTCATGCTATCGGATTTAAGATCAACGAAGTGAACAAAAGAAATAGTGACGATAAAATGGAGGAAAATCGTGAGTTTCATTGAAATTCATCTAATATGTATAAGCATCTTTGCATTTTTAGCTCCAAATCGAAGACTCAAATTATTTTTGGATAAAGGTGTAGAAGATGAATTTGTTGAAACAGGAAATATTGTATTTATCTGTAAGTGTTTCTTTTTTTACATATCAAAAAAGAAAAGAATAATTTGAATAGATACATCAAAAATAGATGTTGATGAAGCAACATCAATTAATTATGTGGAATCCTTTTATGTTTTATTAATACCTGGAAAATATGAATGTGATAAAAGTGATTATTATATAGCTAAAACACGTTTAATTAAAGTGGATAAAAACAAATTACCAGCTATTGAAAAAGAGTATGTTTGGGCTTTTGTTGAAAAAACTGATGAAAGTATTGAAAAAGTTGTAGATAAACTTCAAGAACTATGTTATCAAACAGCTACAGTTGAAACATGCACAGCTGAAATTATTTATAATGCTGGAATAGGTACATATATTATGGCTCAACACGATAAATATCCTACAACTATTAATTATACACTTGAATCACCGTCGGAAATAACTATTGTACAACATGTACTTAACATTAATAAAATTGGTTTATTACTTATAGCTGTTGAAAATCCTAGAAAAGAAAGTAAAACTGCTGCTAGTCTTACTCAACTAGCTGAATTTCTTTCAAAAATTCAAGATAAATTTGGTGAATGTTAATTGTTACCAGGTTTGAACGAAATTTTTTTTTTGTTATAATAAATGTACTTTTATTTAATGTATCGTAGCTGAACCGGAAATGTTGGATATTCCTGCTTGCCAAATGGTATGGATTTCTTCTAAAATTGATGATATCGAAAAAGTATTAAGTCAATTTGGTCGTGAAATGGAATAAAAAGTAGATGCTACAATAATAACAACTCAACTTATGAAACATAATCAATCAAATTAAAAACATTAGATTTTTATTTAATTTTTTTTGTAACTGTTACACCTTTCTTTATTTCTGATTTAAAACAAAACGAAGAAAAATAAAATGTATCGTATTTCTCACTTTCAGTCTTATTTCGCTCTTTGTATTCTAAGAAAAAAAAAATACTCGAGAGAAAAGAGAAAAAAATGCTGATAAACATAATGCAATGATGCCAGAGAAGAAGAAAGAGAACATTCTTATGTGAGAAGATATTTGTCCTGACATAACACCTTCTCCTTTTCAGTAGAAGCGAAAGAGAGAAAACGTTCAAATACGATATTGAAAAACATATTAAGCACAATAAATAGGGTGTGGCCGTGTCTGTGAATATGAAGAAGCAAAACAGTCATACCTACCTACATGGGTACCTTTTTTTCTCAATGAACAAGTAAAAGTAATCAGATTCGTTTCCAACTAGTTTTCTATTTATCTTTTAAGTTCAAAAATATAAAATGAGGATCGTAAGTGATTTCGAGATTAGAATGAAGGTAACACTATGGTAGTCCAATGTAATTGATTAATTTCATTAACAATTCAACGTAAAGAATCAATCATCTATACATTCCTACTGGTCAAATTAAAGGACACACATCTAATTTTTTTTTTGCTTATTTTCTCGCACCATTATTGTTTGATCTCTTATTATTATTATTTTTCCAGAATATAAAATTCAGTAGACATATATAAGAGTTCTTGCTCTGGATTTCAAGTTCAATTTGACAACTTTATATAAAAGCTGATGTCAAAATACGTTTCTATATATAGCTTGTGTTCACTTTCTTTACTTTCATATATTTACTATGTTCCAACTGATCAATACTTGCTTTCATTTCAGTATGACAAGTGATTTCGATTAAGTGATCGTTTCATAGAACGCAAGATTATATACATTTTAATATCTTTGGGATTTAAATTTCTGTTTTTCCGAAATTACTTCGAATTATTTTAACGAACGAAATCATTTGTAGTATTCTGTATCATGATAAAAAATATTCTTTATTGAAACAAATCTTAAGAAAAGAAATACTATTTACCATAAAGGAAAACATTGATGAAAATGTTTTGGACGAACAAAGAGCTCATTTGTATCAAGACTTTGCAAGTTAGCACAGTTGTGACGTACTGCATCATTGGTAAAATAATCCGTTACCATTGCAAATACTTCGTAATCGATAGTAAGTTTGAGCAAACGAGGCAAATGGGTATTTTTCTCGAAGAGAAACTGTTCAGCATAATTCACATGTGATATATGAAGACTGAGTGCCAGAAGATGAGGAAATACAACCAATGTAGATGAATGTTGTTTATTTTTTTGTGGACAGGTATTTACTATATGTAAATCTTCAAGACATGAAAAATCTTGAGATACTAATTTAAATAATTCATGTTCAAATGGATTTGTATCATTCATTATTAAGCATGGAACTTTATTAAATATGCCACCTCGAAAAAATTTATTAAGATTAATAAAAATTTCAAATTGATATGGAAGTGAATAGACATGATATCTGATTATGGACTCTGTTGAATTATAACCGGCATAGGAACAAACTTGATTAAATCCTCTTTTGGTGAAACTAAATTGAATGTCATTATTTAATAGAAAATCACTTCTAATATTGATGTTAATAATTTCAGTAATTATACTGAAAGTAAATTTGTTTAGTCGTGGCATATGAACAAGAATTTCATCATATAAATGATTGCCATCAATATAAGTTGAGTCATTTCTTAATATTGTAAGAAATAATGTCAATTCTTCAAGATTTGACATTCGATGAAGTACGTAGTGGGACAATTTGCTCATCAGAAAATATTGTGTGAGGACCGGAGATTAATGAAAATTGTTTTAATTTGAGAAGCTTTTTCTATAAAGTAAAACAAACAACAAAGACTATCTATATGTTTACTTCGGTATTTTTCGTCACATACTGATCCAAGTGTACTTACTGTATTATCTATTTTTGATATTGATTCGAAATATGAAGTATTGTGACGATCAATATGGATAAACATTCGAGACGTTCATCAAGAAGGTAAAGACAATCATCAAAAATATTAATATCAATTTTCATTTTAATAAGAGTTGAAGACATACAACTTGTTAATGAGAAATTAAAAGTCGAAATTCTCACATGTTCATTAGATAATTGTTGAGAAAAGGTCAAATCGCTTAATCGTTTACTTATAGATAATATTAATGGAAATAAATTTGAGTTGTTTTCATCAAATAATTCTGCTCTTGCTTCATTTTTGATTTCAACAACGAGATGTGTGATTGTGTTAGTGAGAAGATAACGAAGAATTGTATTACCTACGATGTACGGAAAACATATATTCTTTATTTCAAACATGCTTCTTTAATATAGAAGAAAATGTTTACAAAGCAGAATCATGAGAACAGGCAAAAATAAAGAACAAATTGATAAAATGTTCGCATTATGAAAACAAACACAGACGGATATCATCTACTCCGAATTAGTCTAGTCCTGGACATCATGAGTAGTCTAGTTCATTTCTTTTTTTTATTCGAAGATATGTTCTACATGAATATATTTAAGTGTGAAAGTTTATGATAGTAAATTAATTTCTTCTACTCAAATGCATTTAAATCATTTGAAATTGACAAGATATATGTAGAATGTTAGAATAATTAACAAATGGTTCGATTTGAGAAAGAGCTAAGTCAGCATGCCCTCGAAGAGTAACATTAGAACAAATGATCATTTTTTCATTGATGTAAAACAAACACATATTTAAAAGAACTCTTGAATATCGATAGTTTACAGAAGATTACATTCTTTTTGTTATCGATAGATCATCCTAGTCAATATGACTGATAAAGATTATCTTAATTATCAACTTAGCAATAATTATACGTTAAATTTTCTTTCATTACTTGTTTTTTCTTCATAGAAGAAATTTTTTCATGATATTACAAATGCGAATATTTTTTCAAATTGTCGTCATTTTTATCTTTTCTCTACAGATTCTGATATCCAGATATTTTCAATCAATTAGCAAACTCAAAAAAATTTCATCAATCAAGATGTAGCCAAGAAGACATGATCATCAATTCATATGTAACAATGTTTGGTTGATTAAAACAAAGAATATAAAATAGTGTACCTGTTAAATATTGAATAAATGTTTCAATTCGAAAATGAATAAGTGATAACGAGTAAATTTGAGGATAATCAACAGTATAAAGTATGCCTTCAATTGAATGTGGTTCACAAGTGAGTTTATTTATTTGATGATGAATTCGATGTAAGATTTTTTAGCAAATTCTATCAAGCATTTGATTATCTATTGAAGATATACATTTAAATGATGATTTCACAGATAAATCAAGTTTATTTATATAAAGAGGATCAAACAATAATTGATTAAATCGTTCATTAACATCCACTAATGAAAAGAGGACATCGATCATATTCAATTTCTTGAAAATCTTACATAATATTTCATCGGGCAAATCGAGAATATTGATATCCTTGTTCGTTGAAATGTCCATGTTGAATGAGTACTACCTATTGATTTCGTTCAATATATAGATATATGTCTTCATTTCGTCTTTGCCGTTCGTGACAAAAATGAAGAATATATGTTAATGTATGATGACGTTAGACAATAACATATAATGTTATGTTTCTTCCTGTCCAACATTTTCCGTCATTCATTCGTTGAATGATTGAAAAATACCGAAAAGAAAAATATCAAAAAAATATTTCGAGCGAGAAATATAGATAAGAAAAAGAAAGAAAAGAAAAACGTCAAAATGTAGAAATATCGAAAAAAACATCGACAATAAAAAACATGAAAAGAAAAATATCAAAAGTTATGACGGTGACAGGTTGGTGGGTTTGAATATTTAAAACATTCTTCATTTCGTTGTTCCATACTTGTGCTGCTACCATTTTCTCTGACTACAATATCTATATCTATATATACACAGTAGAGTGAATTACTTCCTACTATAATTAGCTTCCTCCTCATTAATATCTTTACGTTATCATATCTTTGCTTTGTTTTTGAATTCAAGCTCACTATCAATCAATGAAATGAATTATATGAACTTATTGAAGTAAAGAATGATTATAATATATATATATATATATTATTTTATATTGTTTGATGCATGACTAGGATAACATTAGAATAGTTATTTTTATTTGTTGCTTATAATATTTGGCTAATTTATTTATAATGTCAATCATACTACGAATGATTCTGTGCTCGTAGTTATTAGTCATTTTTTAGTCCTAAACATTTTTCTATTGATGCTTTGCTTTTGAAGGTTATTCTATTCGAGATTTTTCCCATCATACCTATTAGTCGTTAGTTGGTCAAGTCATCATTGTTTTTTTGAAATGCTTATCGAATAGCGCATTGTTTATACCTTATAATGTGGCCTTTACAATCAAACGTTCATTATTTGGTATTTTATTACAACAATTGACATTCACTAATCAATGAATCATTGAACACGGTGAAATCTTACGATTTATTAAATTTTCAAGTTTGAACATTGAAAATTGAATATTATAAAATCTTTGCAAATTATCCGTGTGATAGTTCAAATAGTAGCACTCACAACTGTTGTGTCATTTTCTCAAATCTTGAAGTTTTTGATGATCCAGTAAATATGAAAACGGGGTGGGGTGTGGGTGTAGGTATGCGTGTGTGTGTGAACAATTCTATCACTCACACCCACCACCAGCTATATGCATTCTCCACTTATTTGTGTTTTTTACCGAGTATCTTCAAGTCTTATATAAACTTAAGGAAAAATCTTGAAATGTTCGCCTTCACTATTTTTCTTCAATTTTTTATAAGCTTCAGATCGACAAAAATCCATCGAAAGGCTGATATTCAACTGCAATATATAAGTGAACAGCACAGATGGAATGAGTTCTTCAATATGTATTTATATTGGATATGAACAAGCAGATCTCACGAGGGACGTATCCGAAGTGTTTTTGAACTTTCCACATCATCTCTTTTACCTGTCTAGATTTCAGTGAGATAGGGAAAACTTTTGAAGAGTTCGTACTTATGTTTTTTTTGCTGCTGGGGTATGGTTTATGTTACAACAAACAATAACACATTTTTGTATGTTTTTAAAATTATTATTTGCATAAGATTCTCACTAAAATAGGAAATCGAAACATTTTTATTAAATTAATACCTCTCGTTTATTTGTGAATAAATGAACTTTTCTTTCTGAAACTCATTCTATAGGGATGGTGTATACAAAGAGACACCTCAAGATTGATCCTGGAAATTTTCAATACAATCAAAGATTGTCTTTATTTTAACTATTTTTATGCAATGAAGAGAGATGTTGGAGTTCTGGTTTGATCTGCAGTTTATAGTTTTTGTAACTCGTCATATTTCAGATATTTCTATATAAACTATGAATTTCATTAAATCGCCTTTTCGTGAAGTCTAATTTAAGTATTGTATCACACTGTTTCTTTTTATTCATTAGAAAAACTGTCAGAAACTAGGTTCCTCATAATTACAGTGTTAGAATTTCATAATTCAATCTACTTAAAGATTTAAATCATTTGTTTGACATATTTTTAGTCTCGAGTGACTTTTGTATTAGAAAAAATGAGAAATATATGATTCTATTCTCATCTTAGCATTAACTATTTTAGCGCAATAAAGAGTTATAAGTACGAATGCTTCTAGGATTTTACTACTCTCATAGTGACATAATTATAGTCAAAAGATGAAGTCAAAAGTTCAAAATCACTTAAGGTACATTTCTCGTCATTTTTCGTCACCTAACAATAGAAACTAAAGTTCTCATCAGGATAGACACTAATGTAATACGACTGACGTTGCTCATGCCCACGTGAACATTTGGCAACGAAAATCTGTCAACGAGCGAATAGAATTCAAGGTATCAGTACGATATTATATATTTATAGACAAAACTAGAATTAAGTTTTTTAAAAGCTCGAATCTAGAATTTCTCTTTTATTTGAACATAGACGAGAACCAAATAAAGAATGATTTGACTCATGCCTAATTCATTTAGATATAAGATAAAGTACAAAACTCAAAATGATTCATTTTTTGCGTATATAAAGCTATGCTTTGAGAACTCTAATTAGTTAAATATGAAGAATTTCAAATGGTTTATATTATACATATTCATGTTCTAGAAATGAATTAACCAAATAAATGTATAATTCTATCGCCTTCATCATAATTTTTATTCGTAAGTAAATAATTCACTGATGTATCGAATGAAATCAGAGATGGGCAAGTTAGCTATTTTAAGACTCAAGAACAAGTCAAGTCAAAAATGATTTGAATTTCCCAGCTGTGAATGAAACAATTAAAAAATGTTGAGTTCGATCACAAGCACTGGGTTGTACAAGACCATCAGAATATTGATGATAAATATTGGCAACTTCAACTCCTTTGTCGATAATCGATCGATGCATTTTACTTTCATTTTGATACTGTTGATTAGAAGAATGATAATAATATTTATGTGCTCGAGCACACGATTACTTTAATGTTATTGTTTAAAATTCATTTTGTTCCATTAATTGTCTATAAGTTTGATATAACAGAACATAAAATTGACTAAGATCATACACTAATCTAGCTATTTCTAACACTTCAAAAGAATTGAGAACATGCCGCAAAATTTTCATAGATATTTGTGAAAGGTGTGGTCCTCACTGTAGTTTTGTCTTTCTATTCTTTGCACTCACACTCTCACACACTCACGCTCACACCCTTGTTCATAGAAATAACTCATACTCTTGTTAAGACGAGCAG